CTGCATTCATTTGTTGAAACATCTCAATGGGTATTCTGTGAATTCCTGGAACTTGTTTTTCCCCAATTCTTTCAGTGTAGCTTGGCCTGCTTCCCTCAATACCATCAGTTCTGGATCATGAAATGGTTGAGTTCTCTTTGGTACAATAACTCTGTATTCCTTCCATCTTATTTTGATGCTTCATGCATTATTCAATATTATGCCTATACAGTCCTTCAATATTGCAACTCAAGGTTTGAATTTTTCTTCAGTTCTTTCAGCTTGAGAAATGTCAAATGTATTCTTCCCCCTTGATATTTCAACTCTAGGCTTTTGCAAAGGAGCTCTGGTGACATAGTGCCTAAGGCATTTGACCACTAACTAGAAGGTTAGTGGTTCAAATCCACCAGCCACTCCACAGAAGGAAGACTGTGCAATCTACTTCTATAAAGATTTACAACCTCAGAAGTCCAATGGGGGTAACTATGAGTCAGAATCAACTCAATGGCAGTGAGTTTAGTTTTTGGTTTGGAGGCCTTTGCATATTTCACTATAGTATGTTACTTTGCCTTCTCAAGCTTCTGTTTTGAAATCTTCTGTTCGACTCTTTTATATCATGATTTCTTCTATTCACTTTAGCTACTCTCTGTTCAAAAGCAAGATTCAGAATCTCTTCTGACATCCATTTTGGTCTCTTCCTTCCCGCCTTTATGAGGTTCCAATGAAATAATACATGCAAGAGGACTTTTGTAAATATCCCTACACAATATCAGCAATAACTATGTCAACTGTCTCAGGTATCTTACCACATGAAATCCAAACCATATTGTGTTTCAGGTGAAAATTTGGTTTCAGAATCGCAGAGCCAAGGAGAGAAAGATGGTCAAGAAGAAAATCTCCCAGTATGAGAACAGTGGAGGCTCAGTGAAAAGTGACTCTGGTTCCATCAGTCCTGGTGAACTGCCTAACACTTTTTTTACCACCCCATCTGCTGTCCCTGGATTTCAGCCTATTGAGATACAACAGGTCATTGTCTCTGAATGAGAGAGAAAGAGAAATGGAAAGCATCCTTCCTTTAGCAGTGTCTTTTTGGTCTCTAAGATATTAGCAGGGAAGTTGGGACAGGGTTTAATCTCTTGTAAGGCAGTATTCAGAACAAGTGGATGGGTAATAGGTTGAAAATAATCCAGAGAGCTCATATTGTTAGAAAATAGCCCCAGAAAACTCCTATTATGTGCCATGCTATATGTTAGTGGTAAGATACGTAAATAAAAGGTAGAATCACAGGCCCTGTTCATAATTTCATAAACTTGTTTGTGAAGAGATTGTAAAAGACAGTTCTGCAGGGAAGTACATTTCTGTAGTGTATAATTTACTTGTGTTATTTGATGCTGGATGTGTTATTTTATGTTATCTTTGGAGGATGGGGGGAAGGTATGCAGACATTTTTCTCTCTCTAGTTTCATTGTCAAGTGTTAATATTCATAACAAAATAAATGTTTCAGGAATCATCATCAGGAAGTAATTCTGAAACCATTGTAACTAGATAAAAAAAATTACAAAAATCAACTATTTTTGTCACTCAATCCATATTGGTCTTATGTCTTGGTCTTGCAAATTGGGAAGAGTGCTGTTGTACTGTGGAGATTGCCATGAATGTCACAAAACAAAATATGTATGACTTGTTGAATGGAAATCCAATTTGATATGTAAACTTTCAACAAAATCACAATAAATAAATTCCAAATCTTACCAAAATAATGAGATTAGACCAGGAAAATTCAGGTCACCTTGGTTGTGTCATTAGAAAAGCAGATCTCCCACACAGAATAAACCTTCCCTATCTCATGGCCTTCTACTCCCATTACTGTTATAGTTCAGTACCAATCTTATTTACATAAGTACAAACACATGAAGTGGTCCTTGAATAATTTCTTACTTAAAAAAATACATTTTATTGAAATATAATTTATGTACAGTGAAATACACAAAATTAAAGTGACATGGGTCGATGCATTTTTTTTTTTTTGCATTGTTCTCTCCCCTCCCCTCCCACCACTGGTAGCCAACAAAAAAAAAAGTTTTCTTCCAT